CGGCTCTATGGTCTTCGAGGAGGATAAAATATCAGAGGTTATTATCTCCTACTTCCAGTAGATGTTCTCGACTGTTAGTGGAAACAGAGAGGAAACAGTCAATTATGCACTCTCACCAATGGTGACTGAGGAACAGAATGAGACCCTAATCTGTGTTCCCTCTCCGTTAGAGATTAAAGAGGCTGTCTTGTCTATTCATGCGGATAAAGCTCCTGGCCCGGATGGCTTCTCGGCGGGGTTTTTTCATTCAAATTGGGAGACAGTGTGAAATGATATTGTTAAGGAGATCCAGCTGTTCTTCGAATCTGAAACTCTCCCGCCAAAGATTAATGAGACAAATATACGCCTAATTCCGAAGGTTCACAGCCCCCGAACAGTGGCGGAATATAGACCCATTGCACTTTGCAATGTGTACTATAAAATCATTTCGAAGATCATGACGAAGAGATTAAAGCCTTTACTTGATGGTATCATCTCTGAAAACCAATCAGCTTTCGTCCCGGGACGTGCGATTGCGGACAATGTCCTCATCACACACGAGGTTCTCCATTTCCTTAAGACCTCCAAATCTGAGAAGCGTTGCGCCATGGCGGTTAAAACCGATATGAGCAAAGCATATGATCGTCTTGAATGGGACTTCATTCAGCTGGTTCTCGAACGCCTCGGTTTCCACCTGAAATGGATCGCTTTGATAATGCAGTGCGTCTCCACTGTTACATACTCCTTTCTCATCAACGGTTCGCCTAAAGGAAGAGTCACACCGAGCAGAGGTATCCGACAAGGAGACCCTCTTTCACCTTACATATTCATCCTTTGCAATGAGGTGCTCTCGGGTCTATGTAACAGAGCGGAGGAGGACGGTTCCCTTCAAGGAATCAGAGTAGCTCGAGGGACTCCTCGACTCAACCACCTCCTCTTCGCTGATGACACAATGTTTTTCATCAAAGCAACCAAGGATAGTAGTGTTGCTCTGCACAAACTCCTCAAAAGATATGAAGAGGCTTCGGGTCAATCCATCAACCCAGGCAAATCATCTATCACTTTCTCTCGGAAAGATCCTATGACGCTTAAATCTTCAGCAAAGGACGCTCTTGGGATTCAAAAAGAAGGAGGTATAGGCAAGTATCTTGGGTTACCGGAACACTTTGGAAGAAAAAAGAAAGACATATTCTCCTCTATTGTAGATAGAATAAAACAGAAAGCTAGCGGTTGGTCTAATAGACACCTATCTACAGTCGGAAAGATGACCATGCTCAAGAGTGTTCTATCTCCTATTCCCTCCTATGCTATGACTTGTTTCAAACTGCCTGTTTCACTTTGTAAAAGAATCCAATCGGCTTTATGAGAGGACGAGGGTAAGAGAATGAATATAGATGATTGTGAGAGAGTGAATGTAAGTTTGAGAGATTTTGAGATTATTTGATCAACTAAGAGAGCGAGAGAGGTGTACAAACACATACAAAAATAATGCAAAGAGAAATACATAAGAAACAAAACGAATGTGTGAAAAAATACAAGGAGAAACGAAATGAGTAAAATAGAAAAATATATTAAAAAAAACAGAGTATCTATGTAAAAGAGAAAGAAAATTATAATATGTTTATACATTTATATTATTTTTTATTCATGCAATGTATAGATTGTATTAATGATCCGCACAGCCGTGCGGGCCGTCCACCTAGTTTGACCTTATTCGAAATGGAAACCGATGGTGAGAATTGAAAAGTTATAAGAGTATCGAGCAATGTGAATATCAAGAAAGCAACAAACATATGTATCAAGTAGTCTATTTGCAAGACCAACTAACTAAACACTTTATCATGTAACCAATTTTCAAAACTACAAAGAACCTCCATAAGGAAGCTTTGGCCTAGAAGAGGTAATTATAGAACGTCTTTGTCATAGTGTTTATTTTATACACGCAAAGGGGAAGAAGAGAGACAAGGGTTCTTGTTTGAGGGTTAAGCAACAGAATGTTAAGAAACAGCTACGTTAGGCAACAGAGAGTTTAGAAAGCTCTCTTGCATTTTCAGAAGATGGAGGAGATGGGTTTCCCTTCTTCCTCTCTTACTTACTACAACACCTAGTGCCTTTACATGAACATCGGTCAATACGAAAAAACTCCTGGAGTTGTGGATGAAGGAAAAGAATGTTGCACTACGTACAGTTTCAAGATTCTTTGGGCTTGTGGCTAATGCTTATGTGGAAAAGGGTTCAAGTGTATGAGAACGGCTTTATGTATACAAGTGTTTTGAGTTGGCTTGGGGATGAAGGAAACTTGAAAGAAGTAGAAAGCTTTGTTCAATCTATTAGGAATTGTATCGATTTGAACAAAGAGATGTATCATGCTCTTGTCAAACCCACTTGCCCGCGAACCAAAAGATCTCCAACGAAGGAGGGGCAGATTTCAACACATTGCCTCCTCCAGAATATTCCACTCACTTATGACATATACTAGACCTTTTCAACATTAATTTCTTAGGGTTAGACTGATTAGAAAACTAATATATGGATCATCAAACTTGCAAAAACACGTAATATTGAGAAATGTGTGTGTGGGAGAAATTTAATTTATGGCAGAAAATCCATGTACTAATGAATATCAAGAAAGCAAGAAACTCATAACAAAAAAGATTTCTGTATCAAGTAGCCTATTTCAAGACCAACTAACTAAACACTTTAACTTTGAGCTCGATGGTCATGTTCAGACTAGATATGTCCCCAAACTAATTACATTTCACATCGTTTTATTAACATTTTAACATCACAATCCTTCGAAGATTTATTCATCTCTTAGCAATGGAAATAAACAATGTAAATGCACAAAGAAACCTTTGTATACTTTTTTTTTGCAGGGTCAATGTAAAGATTTGCCTCAGACCTCATCTTTGCCATCGTAGAAGTGTCTGGAAACACACACAAAAAGTCCTTTCTTTCATGCCCATCCTTGCACAACTTCTTGTAACTGCAAAAAGAAACAAACTTCGAAGAGATGTGCACATAATCGTCACTAAGAAGAGTATTGCTCTTGAAAGTACTTACATCTCTTGTGCTTTGGATATCAATACGCTCTTATGTCCAACTTCTTCAGCTGAAGCTGCTGCTAAGTTTAAGTCTTTAGCCTGCAATTTGAAATACCCAAATAGACATGAAAGACTTGTGTTACAAAAAACAATGTGCTTTACCGAGATTTCGTGATCACCAACACAGAGACTTGTAAAGAAACTAACCAGGTAAGATATAATAACTTTACCCCACCGTGTACCAACTTGATCAGGTGTTCTATGTGGCTCACAAATTAAGAGTTCAACAGTCGAACTTCTATGTGCATCAAAGTGTGGGTGGTGTAGTAAAAGAGAACTCTAGCGGAACCACACAAAGCTTAATTTTAATTTTATGACACTGGAACAACAAATACTTAACATTCTTCTCGAGAAACCAGATAGATAGTAGATACACAATCTTAATATTTTAGACAACCATAGATTTACCATATTTGTACACTATAAAGCATCGCACATTATGTGATTAAGCGTAATTTAAAAACAGAGAATAGACTAAAACAGAGCAAATGAACATTTTAAAACACAGATATTTTTACTCATATAAGTTATGAAAGACACAACTAACTGTTGATAATTATTTATTTTATATATTTATTAAAGACAAGATAAGCAATTTATGTCTGAACTTTAGGGAAACAAAATATGCAAATTTTTAGAGCTTAAATAAAAAAGACCCATGAAAATCGTCGGTTTCTTGATCATGTAAGATAGGCTGGTGATGATTAACATGTTGGGTCTCAACAGTAACCACCTGAGCAACAGATGGTTGATCTATTCTTGGGCGCTTGGTTTTACGGACACTGCCACCAATGGGTATGTTGTGGAGGGTGTGTTCTTATATAAGGTTCTGGGGTCCGTGGAAACTGAAGAAGAGATACATTTGTCTTTAAAAGACTGAGATTATGAGCAAAACGTGTCAGAGATTGTGTATTAATAAGATTGGAGACCTATCTACAACCTAAGGCCAAGCTTAATTAGGCAAAAATCAAGGCTCTTTTAGTCTTCACTTTTGGATGTATATAAAATTTGAGAATCAATAAGTTATTGTTTTATGAGTTAAGTGGTAAACATCAACAAAATCTAGGAACACTGAGAACGTAATGCCAAATGTAGCATCATTTGGTATTTATTATGAAAAAGAGTATATGTGATCGCGCGTGAACATGCGCGCATTTTCATTGGAACAAAAGATATTTTTTTGTTATATAATATCCTCACAAGATTTGGATCTTTAAATGATTACAAATGTTGAAAAATGTTTAATTGATAATTACCTATTAAAAGGAAAATAACTAGATAAATAATAATATTGAATACCTATTTTTTTAAATCGACAAAACACATATAAATTAACTTTACAACGGATTTTAAAGTGATTTATTGTGAAAAAAATATTGATTAGTAATTTAATAGTGCTTTGTTAAGAGAGAAAAAACAATGTGTGTGTGTCTTCATAATTAAGAGTTCATATTGGCATATCATAAGAGTTTATTGTTAAAATATATGCTTTAGGACTTTATTTTCATATACAAAATGGATACATCTTATGATAACAAAAATAAAATTAAAAAATGGATACTTCTTGTTTGTATAGGCAGCAATGCTAAATAAAAAGAAAGACAAGGGACGCAACCAAATATTTTTCTTTGTATCAAGATAATAAACAATATACGGATCATGAAACTTGCAAAAACACGTAATAACAATTTCGATAGTGATTAGTGTTGAGACCAATTAATTAAACACTTTGACTTCTAGCTCGATTGTCATGTTCAGACTAGAGATGTCCCCAAACTAATTACATTTCAAATCGGTTAACATCACAACCCTTCGAAGAATTTATTCATCGCTTAGCAATGGAAATAAACAACGTAAATGCACAACGAAACTTTGTATGCTTTTTTTTTTCTTTCAGTGTCAGTGTAAAGATTTGCCTCAGACCTCATCTTTGCCATTGTAGAAGTGCCTGAAAACACACGAAAAGTCCTTTCCTTCATGCCCATCGTCGCACATCTTCTTGTATCTGCAAAATCAAAACCAAACTTTGAAGAGATATGGAAACATAATCTTCATTAAAAATAGTACTGCTCTTGAAAGTAGTCACATTTCTTGTGCTTTGGATATCAATGCGCTCTTGTATCCAACTTCTTCGGCTGAGGCTGCTGCTAAGTTTAAGTCTTTAGCCTGCATTTTGAAATACCCAATAGTCAGGAAAGACTTGTGTGGCGAAAGCAATGTGATTTAGCGAGATTTAGGATCAACAACAAGACAGAGAATTGTAATGAAACTGACCATAAGTTTGGAAGCGAAACCGCCATTGTAATCTCTTGAAGCGGGCACACCTTCCATTACTCCTGGAACCGGATTATATTTCTCGCTGTGGTTTTAACCATAAAGTCAAGAGTTTGGTACTTTATTAGAAGGGCAGCTACTAAAAAAATTGAAGAGTTCATTTCATCTACTTACCTACTCCAACATCGGCCACTGGATGTGTTTAACACTTGTGTTAAAATGGTGGCAGATATTCCAACTGACTGACCAAGAGCTAGAGCTTCTGAAGTACCCAGCATACTTACAGCCATCGCCAAATTGTTACAAATCTTTGCAGCCTAAAAGGTTTGACAAAAGAAGCTTCTCAGTCTACATCTATAAGATCCCTCAGACGAATGTAAAAAAAAAGATAATGGAAACGAGGTCTGGAAGTGAGCTTACAGATCCATTTCCTGAACCACCACAGTAGATGGAAGTTCTGCCCATTGACTCAAGTATTGGTCTTGCGGCTAAGTAAGCATCTTCAGGACCTCCAACCTACAAAACGTGCATTTCAAATTGTTGGTCTTATAGGTATTGTGCTGGATTATGTTATAGATATATAGTTAAGAGCATCTAGCAAGGATATGATTCAACCAATGGAAATGATAAGAGAGTAGACAAACATACCATGAAGGTAAGTGTACCAGCTTCTGCAGCAAGGACACCTCCTGAGACGGGAGCATCCAACATGACAGGCTTTTCCCAATTATCTACATCAAAGATGGTCGAAAGTTTGAAATTATTTAAAATGAAATAGTCTCTACGTTTCCACAAGAATAAAAAGTAGCTCAAAAAATTGATGTCATGAACTATTAGAAAAAGTAACACATCATATGAATAAAACTTTCACTCAAATCATATCCATGGTTTACCTCTCTTATCTTTCAAGTTACAATTGGAAACAGCAAGAGAGATTTTCCGGGTGGTTTGAGGATCAATAGTGGATGAATCTATCAACAAAGCAGGTCTTATAGAGTTGTCTCTATAAAGCAACCCATTTCTTCCTGTATAAACATCCATCACCTACATGCATCACACATAGGACCACATTATTGAAGATTTACATTTCAACCATCCCCATTATCATAGACTAGTTATTTCCCAATAATGCCCTCTTATTGTACTTCATATTAAAAAAAAAAAAAACTTACGTGAGATGATGAAGGCAACATGGTAATCACAACTTGGCTTTCTTGAGCAACTTCATAAGGAGTATCTCTAGTAGAGACTCCCATTTCCGTGAACATTTTCATAACATCACGGTTACTGTGAAATCAAACACAAGTACATGAGAAAAAAAAAAGTAAATCAAACGTTCTGGATATTGATAGAGCAAAAGGCAATAAAGGATGTTACATGTCATGAACTGTAACGTTAAATCCAGCTTTAACAAGATTATTCACCATTCTTGATCCCATATTCCCAAGCCCTATGAACCCAACATTCTGAAGTAAAAAAAAAAAAAAGAACACCAACATTATTATATTCAAGTAAAACTATGCGTGAGATGTTAAAAGTTAAGATCTTTCCTCTAAATTTTCTGAACGATCATCAAAAAGATCTCGAAAGTAGCAAACTTTTTCAAAACCCACCACACAAACCTCTGAGGCTGAGAGAAACAACTATAGAAAAAGAACCTGGAATTGAGTTGAATGCTCCTGTGATGATTGGCTCGGAATCATCATCCTTCCTTTTTTTTTTCTTCTTAAGTCTGTGTGGTAAGTAATAAGTTGTGCAATGCTGATGGGGATCCTTTATAGAGCTTTGGTTTCACAAGTCCTGCGTCAACTCTTGTAAGCTTTTCAGTTGATTTGTCAAGTCTTCTGTGATCAATGAATTGTCCCCACTTGCCTCAAAAGTTGATAATATATCTATTTATGAGTATTAGTTAAATTATTATAAGCGGGTACAACATCTAGTTATGTCCCTTAAAGAATTGCGGTGTTTTTATTTGAGGCATTGAATACTGAAGCTGAGTCGACAGTCCAATTTCAAAACCTGTCCATCATACTCATGCCATCATCAGAAAACATGAACATTAACATCAATCTGAAACTCACGATCCTACGAGCTTTTTCTCAGTCTAGACTTTACCTGATTGATAATGCAATTTTCTATCATCAAGAGTATGTGATACGGAGGCATTGTGTATCTGTGTTCTCTGCCTGATGTACTGGTGCATGACTTATATATATTACAGAGATCCATTGTACAGAATCTGATGAGCAAACTGTTCAAAGCCTCAGTGGTTGTAGAGTGTCAATGACCAGATCTTGCGTATGGTTCCTAAAATTGAGGTTTTATATGCTTACTGATCTCTTAATTTCATAAAACTTCTATATTTCGTCGATATGATTTGCTTAATCTTAAATTTATGTTTTGTATCTGAGCAGAATTTCAGGACAACACTAAGATGCATGCAGTTTTGGGCCAAGCGACGTGGATTATACTCTAATGTCTGGAAAATTCTTCTCTAGAACTCTTTTACTTCACATGATGGTATGAAGTTGCATATTGACAAGGATCAACAAGCACCCATGTCCTGAGATTATACCATCCTTTGCTGAGCCGCCTACTATAACCTGGTAAACATAACAACTTGCCCCCACGTGTACCAACTTGATCAGTTGTTTTATGTGGCTCACAATTTAAGAGTTCAACAGTCGAACTTCTATGTGCATCAAAGTGTGGGTGGTGTAGTAAGTTATCACGATAGTCACATACTAGAGGTCCCTTGTTCGAACTTCGACTCAAACCTCTTTTTTCATGGTAAAAGAGAACTCTAGTGGAACAACACACAGCTTAATTTTAATTTCATGGCACTGGAACAACAAATACTCTTCTGGAGAAATCCATATAGATAGTAGATACACAAGCTTAATATTTTAGACAATTATAGATTTACCATATTTGTACACTATAATGCATCTCACATTATGTGATTAAGCATAATTTAAAAACAGAGAATAGACTAGAACAGAACAGTAAATGAACATTTGAAAACACATAGATATTACTCATAAGTTATGATAGACACAAGACTACAAGACACAACTAACTGGTGATAATTATTTATTTATATTTATTAAAGACAAGACAGACAACTTATGACTGAACTTTAGGGAAACAAATATGCAATTTTTTAGAGCTTAAATTAAAAAGACCCATGAAGATCGTTGGTTTCTTGATCATGTAAGATAGGCTGGTGATGATTAACCTGTTGGGTCTCAACAGGAACCACCTGAGCAACAGATGGTTGATCTATTCTTGGACGCTTGGTTTTACGGACACTGCCACCAATGGGTATGTTCCTTATAGCCCCACCATGAGTTCAGAGTCGACGACAATTTTTGCAGGTGTAGCGAGGTTGAGCCAAGCTATAGTTGTTGTAGTAACAGAACCTGGTGTTGTCTGAGAGACACCTTGGACACGTTCGTGGTGGAGGCCTCTCTCCATTCACTAGATGGTTTTCCCTCACGAAAAGATGCAAGCTATCCATTTCTCTCAAGAGTTTACTTAGTTTTTTTGTTTGTAGTTTTGTTATCATGATTTTTGTGTTCGGGAGGGGGTGTTCTTGTATAGGTTCTGGGGAGTGGAAACGGAAGAAGAGACACACTTTGTCTTTAAAAGACTGAGATTGTGACCAAAAGCATCAGAGATTTTACATTAATGAATTCTAGAGACCTATTATTTACACACGATAAACCTTAGCCTAAGCTTAGTCAAAAACCAAGGCTCTCTTACTCTTAACTTTTGGATGTATATGAAAATTTGAGAAACAATAAATTATATTATTGAATGAGTTAAGTGGTAAACCTAAACAAAATCTAGGGACATTGAGAACATAATGCCAAATAATACATCATTAGGTATTTATTATGAAAAAGGAGTATGTGTGCGCGCGTGAGGATACACACACTTCCATTGGGGCAGAAGATAATATACCAGTCTTTACAAGATTTGAATTTTAAATAAATACAAATGTTTTTGATCAAAAAAAAAATTACAAATGTTAAGAAATGTTTAGTTGATAATTACCTAATAAAAGTAAAATAGTGTAACAATAATGTCGAATACCTATTTTTTTGAAATAAAAAAAAACATTTATAAATTAACTTTACTAGAGACTTAATAGTGATTTATTGTGAAAAAACTGATTAATGATTTAGTAATGCTTTGTTAAGAGAAAAAAAATATAATGTGTGTGTCTTCATAATTAAGAGTTTGGCACCTCATAAGAGTTTATTGTTAAAAGATATGCTTTATGACTTTTTTTCATATACAAAACTAGGGTAAACCCGTCATACGAGCGGAAAGTAAAAAAATATTATTTAGTTTATATTCAATTTTTGAAAATTATGTTAAAATATATTTATTAGTCTTTTTGTTATTTTTTAATTTTATTTCATTATGATTCGAAGGATTAATTTTATTTTGTTAAACTTCATACACTATTGATTTTTAAACTTTACTTTTTTGTGAATATAAATATAATAATAAAAAGTTAAAGATTAAGTTAAAAAAATACATAATTGTTCTTACTCTTCTTATGAGGTTTCAACCTTAACACATGGTTCAAACGAAGTCTTTTATTTGTTAACAGCTGAGTTATAGTTTCAGTTTATTATTATGTGTATTATTGAATGGATATATATTAATTTCGTCAGACCTAAATCTGTGAGTCAATTTCTTCACTTGCATAACCTAATTTGTTTTGGAATAATAGTTTCCTTGGTGAGATTTGGATCATTGCGGTGGCTCCATTCTTTTGATTTCCCTCTAACCTGAACGCTCTTAAACACTATCTTTTTGAGCTTTAATTCGGTTTTACATTAACATTGATCTTCTCTTTTTATTTGACATTGTCATTGCTCTTTTGAGATCATATTTTCCACTTTCTTTTAAACTAGGTGATTTTCCCGTGCTCATGCACGGATATAAATATTTATAAACAAATGTACTATAATAATTAATTGCTATTTATTTTAATATTAAATTAGTGTTATTTACTTATTGATACTATATTACTTTAATTAGACATATAATTTTAAATATGTTATATTTGATATGTTTTTTGCCTTTACAGTCGATTTATATATTAGTTGTGTATATTGGATTGCATTTATTTCTCTGAATTCAACTATAATTTTTAATTTTAAATATATTTATTTAAAAGTTGTTTTTGGAACACTAATTTTTTTATATTAAATTTCTTATTTGAATTTAGGTTGATTTTTTTATTAAATATGTAAATATAATTTACTACAGTCAACTAAATATAAGAAAAAATAAAACATTTCAGTAAAACTAATTTTAAACTATTTTTAGTTAATTAAACATATATCAGTTTATATTACTTAATTATCTTATGTGATCTTCTAAGAAAATAGATAAATATATAAAAATATATTTCTATTACTTTGAAAATATATTTTTCTTGTTGTTTTAAATTATGTTTGAAAAGAAAAAATATTTCTTTTTCTATTACCAAAGTTATTTATGTGAAAGTTTTTTATCACATTATATAAAAATATATATATTTCATCTAAGAAAATATAGATATAAAGAAAGTATTTTATTACTTTAAGAGTATATTTTATGTTATTTAAACATATTTTTTTAAATGGAATATTACAATTTGTGAATTTTCCTTTTTAATAAAATAATATTATATATACATATATTTTCGTTTTAAATTTATTTTTAAACTTTATAAATCTTTCCTTTTCATTATATATGTTATTTTGGAAAGATTCAAAAAGGAAACTAAAGAAAAAATGAATAATAGTATTTAAATGTAATATTTTAAATTCATTAAATCTATCAAGGTAATCAACCATCCTCAGAGTTAACGTGAGCACGACACATAAGAAACTGACTTCTCAAATAATATTATAGAATTTCTATTACTTTGAAAATATATTTTTCTGTTGTTTTAAATTATGTTTGAAAAGAAAAAATATTTCTTTTTCTATTACCAAAGTTATTTATGTGAAAGTTTTTTTTTTATCGCATTATATAAAAATATATATATATTTCATCTAAGAAAATATAGATATAAATAAAGTATTTTATTACTTTAAGAGTATATTTTATGTTATTTAAAAATATTTTTTAAATGGAATATTACAATTTGTGAATTTTCCTTTTTAATAAAATAATATTATATATACATATATTTTCGTTTTAAATTTATTTTTTAAACTTTATAAATCTTTCATTTTCATTATATATGTTATTCTGGAAAGATTCAAAAAGGAAACTAAAGAAAAAATTAATAATAGTATTTAAATGTAATATTTTAAATTCATTAAGGGTATCAAGGTAATCAACCATCCTCAGAGTTAACGTGAGCGCGACACATAAGAAACTGACTTCTCAAATAATATTATAGAGATTAGTGATCTTTAAAGGCAACATTTATACTTTTGTCCAAAAAATGGAAACATTTATACACCGTATCTTTAACTTGTTGAAATAAACGTAGAGTATAGCCAATAAAAAGTATGAGGTGAAACATGAACAAAAAAAAATATAAAATGTCTAATGAACATATTTTATGATTTTATAAAATATAATTACGATTTTGAAGTGAATAGTGAAGGAAGTAATAAACCTTTTGAAAATAAGGTGATTTTATAAAATATAATTACAGTGTTGAGGTGAATAGTGAAGGAAGTAATAAACCTTTTGAAAATAAGGTGAAAGAATCTAAAAATCGGAAAGTGATGCGGCTTCTGCTAATACATTCCATCGAGGGATAAATCATATTATGTCCTAAGCCAAGAATGTTATTTTTTACAGACCATGTGATGCATGTGGGGGAGCTCTTACTATATATAAATTTAAACTTTAAAATCAATTTTTTGACAATTGTTTATATGTTTAGAAGTGGTTTAGTTTTAAATTTCTGTCAAATAAAATTGTCCAATTTAATATTGTGGCGCTATATTTTTTTGGTTAATGAAACCATAAATCCTATTGTCTTATATGGTTAGTCATATTCTCAAGCACTGAAGTCATTTTTCAATGTGTGGGTGGTGTAGTAGGTTATCACGAAAGTCTCACACTAGAGGTCTGGCTCAAACCTCTTTTTTCGTGGTAAAAAGACAACTCGAGCGGAACCACACACAGCTTAATTTTAATTTTATGACACTGGATCTGGAACAACAAATACTCAACGTTCTTCTGTAGAAATCCAGATAGATAGTAGATACACAAGCTTAATATTTTAGACAGCCATAGATTTACCATATTTGTACACTATAATGTTATATTGCATGAAAACGGAAATGGATACGTGGAAGTGAAACGTTTCGAAATGTGGAAACATGATATAGAAAAAAAAATAGAAATGGAAACGTTTAAAAATGTCTATAATATATATATATATATATATGATTAATTAACATGTAAGCTTAATTTATTTTGTTTGATTTATTTAAGAGATAAAATTAAGTAATATAACTGTTATTTTTTTGGTATATTTTATAAAAATTCTAATCAATAATTAGAAAACTAACATATGTTATCATTCAATACAACTATAAAACCAAATTCCTTTCAGATCGAATCATTATACCGAAATGATAACAAATATCGAAAGATAATATTAAAATATAAGTTAATAAACATGTAATCACTAACATCAAATGGAAAATAAATACTCTTTTGAGTTTCCAATCAGAATTGTGAGTTTTCAAATCAGAAACGAAAGTTTCCATCGCGTTACTAAAATTCTCAAGAAAGGTGTTTCCAAAAAGTTTCCAAGAGATTCTAATTTCGAAACGTTTCCGAAACAAAAAACGGACCTTGACCGGAGTTTCCATGCAACTTAGCTATAATGCATCTCACATTATGTGACTAAGCGCAATTTAAAAACAGAGAATAGACTATACAATACATGAACATTTGAAAACACAGATATTTTTACTCATAAGTTATGAAAGACAGAGGACTACACGACACAACTAACTGGTGATAATTATTTATTTATATTTATTAAAGACAAGTCAGGCAACTTATGTCTGAACTTTAGGGAAACAAATATGCAAATTTTAAGCTTAAAACAGAATGACCCAAGAAAATCGTTGGCTTCTTGATCATGTAAGATAGGCTGCTCACTACAAGAAAACACGTCCTTTACTAGGACGGGTTTTCCTCGTTATTTCCTAGTAAATGGCCCTTTACTAGGAAATAGCGAGGAAACGTGTTTCGTCGAAAGACGTTCATCGTAAAGGCTATTTTCCTCGTAAAGACCTAGCTAATTTACGAGGAAAGTTTTCCTCGTAAAGCCGTGGAAAACATTTCCTCGTAAGCTCCACGTATACTTTCCTCGTAAGGGCGTAGTAAAGTACTTCCTCGTAAACTCGTAGTAGATACTTTACGAGGAGTTTGCTAGGAAAGTTTACGAGGAATTTACCTCGAAACCTTTACGAGGATTTTACTTCGAAACTATTTTTTCCTATTAAAAAAAATATTTATAAATTAAAATTATAT